AAAATCCTAAGCCAAACAAATCTTAGGAAAGAGCGTACATATATAACTATTTAGGGAGAATAAAATATAAGAGAATGTTATTTTTATCTATTTAAATAAGCAAATAGTAATAATTTTAGGGTTTCAGGTTCAAAAAGAAGATATAAACCTATATGCTTATGTAAAATAACAGTTATAGTACACTAATGCTTCCATTTCTTTAGTTTTTTATTTGTGTATTACAGGTTATATAAAATAATTAAAAAATTATAAAACAATATACTGGAAGTACAGACCCTAGCATAATATATGTAGCTGTTAAAATTATTATTGGCAGTTATTATTTAATAATTAGTAATTCTAAACTACTCCCAAAGCTTTTCTAATAGCTCAATTTTCTTAAAAACAAATGCTGGTAGAAAAAGGTGTTCTTCTGCCCTGGCCAGCGTGGCAGTGTGGCATTTGGTTGGAGCATTGTTCTGTACACCAAGAAGAGGTGGGTTTGATCCCGACCAGGGCACATACCCAGGTTGTGGGTTTCATCCCAGGTTGGAGCACACGCAGGAGGTGGCCGATCAATGTTTTTCTCTCTCCCTTTTCTCTCTCTGAAATCAATAAAATGATTATTTTATTAGTTTTTAAATATATCTTTATTGATTTCAGAGAGAGGAAGGGAGAGGGGGAGCGAGAGAGATAGAAACATCAATGATGAGAGAGTCATTGATCGGCTGCAGCCTGCAACCCGGGCATGTGCCCTGACCGGGAGTTGAACCCTGATCGCCTAGGTCGACGCGCAACTGCTGAGCCACGCCCGGCCGGGCTAAAATGATAATTTTAAAAAATGTTCTTCTACTAAAGGATTTCTTTAAAAGAAAAAAAAGGGTTCTGGAAGATGTGTGAGAATATTAATTTTAAATATTCAATTCAATAACTATTTTTGTGTACTAAATTCTTAGCTATCAGTCGATGCTAAGTATAAAAATGTATACTATTATTTTAATATTATAATCTAAAATATATTTGGAAGAATGAGTTTAAAGTAAGAAGCAAGTCGACCTCAATGAAACTTTTCGAAATGTCATTAATGTTTTAGATTAGGCCCGGTCCACCTTTTCCATTTGAGCTATGTTCCCTAGCAATATCTCCATTATCTTCTCACAATATTACCTCTGTCTAGCTGAGTGTATTTACAACAAGAAAAGCACTCTTTAATTTCTACTTTAAACAAGCAAGTGAAAAGCATTTTGCAAATATAGACAGCTTTGTAAATTCAGTTTAGTCACAAACTTACTTAGAAGGTATGAAAGTGTCAGGCAGAGAATCTAATGGCTAACTAGCTTTCTATCCAAAGCACATCCTGCTACCTCCTTCTGATAATATCATTTACTATTATCATTTGCAGTTGCTAATAATTTTAGAAGGGAGCTGTGGCTAGAGCTGTGAAGTCTGAAGGTCTAAAGTGTATTTTTTGTTTGTGTAGTTCCTCATTTGCAGGCAAAGTTCTAAATTCGTTTGAAAAATTACCTTACTATGGTTTTATTACTGAGTAAGTAAAGTAAGTAAATAACTAAATAAATGAAGCTTTCCCTTGCAAGTGTGTAAGAAATAGGAGAGAAAATAGGAGAATTATTTTCTGTGTTGGTAAGCATAGAAAGTCAAGTATTAGTCAATTATGGTGCTATTTTCCCTAAAAGACTGTTAAGAACTATGTAGGTCTGTGATTTTTAAACGGTTGTGTACATTAAAATAACCCAAGAATGCATGTTAAAAATGCATATTTGCAGACTTCACTCCTAGTTCTTTTGATTGCAGAGATCTGGGGTGACCATGACGACTCCTTTTTTAACACTCTCCATTGATTCAGTGTAATATAGGTCATCCTCTGGCTAGACTTTGAAAAACACCACCACCAGTCCAGCTATCCCCTCCCACCAGGTCTGTCACCTTTCGAGCTCCAAACTCTTCACTTTCTGCCCCAGATTAAAATATAATTCCAGACTCAGTGTTTCCCAAACTTTGGGGCACACGCACATTACACATACACACATCTTCCTAGAGCCTTGCTCTGTGTTCTCATTTTGTATGTCTGTTGCAGGGCCCAGAAATAGTTCTTATTATATTTTAATGTCCCAAATGATTCAGGTGCAGATCCAGGGGTTTGGGACCGATTGCAACTTGCTCAGCATTGTTCAGACTTACTGATCAGTCACCTGTGGTCCTGGCCTGTGTTGCTCAATTTGTCACACCAAGGTCACTGGTTCCATTCCAGGGGTTGTGGTCTTGATCCTCAGTAGGGGGTGTGCAGGAGGCAGCTGGTCCATATTTCTCTGTCTCCATCTCCCTTCCTCTCTCTCTCTCTCTAAATAAATAAATTAATTAATTAATTAAATAAAAATAAATAAATAAAAACATTTAGAAAAAGGAAAAAGAAAAAAAGCCACCTGGAGTGCTTGAGTTTCAGTAAAGCTAAAAGCAAAGCCAGTGTCCAGAGTTTCTGTTCCATGTTGCAGCCGGGTCCAGTTCAGCATCAGGCTAGCAGCAGTCCATTAGTCCCCTGTGTGTGGGGGTCCACATGGCAGTGGGCCATGTGGGCGAATACAGGAGAGTACACCCCTAGCAATAAGAGTCTCAAGAGTGTAAGAGGAACCAAGAGCACAAGAATGTAAATTCCTTTGTTCAGGGGATTAAGTATCCCAAATCTTCCCACACTTGCAGTGGCCATGCCTCTTCTGGCCAATGACCCCTGTTTCCAGGTGTGATTGACAGCAAGCACCTTAGCTAACTCCCCCAACCCCCCAAATTTACGGAGCATGCGCTTATCTCCCCTTTGTTTCTTTCCTGTTATTAATAACTAGGTTAATTACAATGTTATCGTCATCTCCTTCCAATAATCTTGGAGAATCATGCTCTCCCTGAGAACTGTAAATCCCCCAATCCCATGATTAACATAATTTTTACTGAGGCCCTTTGCTTCTCAAGCCACCAACCCTGGTTCTTCTAGATTTCAAAGTCTTCACCCAAGTTGCACCAATTTTAGATGGTCTGGGTTCTGAGCACGCTTCTTCCCATTACCCTGATAAAATGCGTCTTTGTGTTGTAGAGTTTAAGGTCAAAGGACTAGGCATGTCAGTGAATTCATCAAGTCTTTACTGCAGTATTACTGCCCCTCATTCAGGGCCTCAAGACCTTTCCGGTTATCTGCTACCCGAGAGCGGGTTATTCGCGGTGCCAAACTCAGCTGCAGCGGCGAGGGCAGGTCTTGGCTGCTTCTGTGTGTGCTACTTGTATCTGTCAGAATGGGCAAGGTTATGCTCCTGACGTAGGTAAAGCCAAAATCTTAGTGGTTCCAAGCAACAATATAGTTCACCTTAAAGCCTTTGTGGGTTGGCCAAACTAAGCTGCTTGTTAAAAATCCAGATTCCTGGGCTATCCCTCAAAATAACTGTGAGTGATCCTGGAAACCTATATTTTTGCCGTATTTTCCACATACATTTTATGACATTGATGCTTGAAAAACACTGGTCTAGAACATATGCCTTGAGCCTGTCCATCAATTTTTATGAAATCTGTGGCCAAACTTTGGGGTGTTAGGAATTCCTTGTTTTCTTTTTTTCTTTCTTTTTGCATGAAGTTGAGACTGAACCTGTCTGGCTTTGCTAATTGGCCTGCGGATGGATTTGCCTTTTGTTCCCTAGCCTCACCTTGGGTAAAAAACAGAGATGCCAGAGGTAAACATTATTCTTTTATAGATTTAGTCCTTTTGAGTTGGAAAGATAGAGTATGGAAGAGAGGAAATCTCTAAACAAGACTCTCAGAAAAGACTATCAGTGCGGTGGTTGTCCTGCATTGTGCGTGTGACACATTTACGGCTCTAAGTGAGAATCTGAGGGTAGGTCTGCAGGCGTAATGTGGAGTCAACTTGGACGATGAGACTATCAATACATTCATCTCAGACAAACTTACAATTGATTCTTGTTGTCATAGTTGAATAATTGTGCAGTGATTTACTTCAATGGCAGTTACTATGTACAAGATGTGACAGTGGCCTGGATGCAACAGCCTCTCCATCGCCAGCTTTCCTGCCCCATCGCCATCCCCCCAGCCACGTCCCTAATGATTATTGACCTGCATGCCCTCCTAGAAAACAGTGTGATTAATACAAAAATAACCAGCCAGGATCAAAGGGGACCATTCTTAGAGCAGGGTTATGGAAATCACAAAACTTAAAGTTGGGATACTAAAAACTTTTTAGTTCACTCCTGTTTGCAGGAGAAACAAAATTATTGGCTGTGCCCGACTAACATAGTATTTTAAAAAGTTGTTCTATTGGCTCTGTCTGAGAGCTCTACCTGGATCGAATTTGTAGTATTCATTAAAAAGGGGTTTCAACTCATCATCACTGGCAATATGTGAATAAGACAAAGGCAATCAGAGTAAGGGGGTCTTTATGTTGCAGTCAGTTTTTAAGGTGTGTACCATTCACTGAAGTGAGAAACACAGGATGTATGTTCACCAGGATTTTGCAGAGTTGAGTTTGTTGCAATTGTATTGTTCTCTAAGTTTATATTTATGCATAAGAAGCTTTCCAGAGGGATCAGGTGAACAAACCTTAGACAAAGATTCATGAAGTTACTTGTCATAGGAAGAATTCCCTTGTAGCATGTAGCATTATAGGAGAATTGTCCCTTTGATGGTTTGTCTTGTTCAGAGTTTGAAATGTGCTAGTTCCAAGGTGTGTGTTGCTGGAGCATAGAAAACTGTTAATTTTCAGTGAGTATCTACATTTGCTTTGCTCTTCACACTGGATGACCTAATGTTATCCCTATTGAATCCTTTAATCCAATTTGTTGGACTAGTTTTATATTAGCTCATAATGCATATTGGGTGGAGGGCACTTGGTTGTATTTCCTACTTTGTTACAGTGACATTCTTCAATAGCCCTATACAGTATTTCAATTTTAGTATGATACATATATCAATTCTATTCTTGGAATCTTGTCTGGAATTAAACATCAACTAAGTTCAAAAGTAATTATTCTTTTTTATTTCAACTCTATAAAGTATACAACAGGCACTGGGCAATTACAGCTGCAGGAAAAATACAGAGCAAATCAAAGCAGGTTAAGTTTATGAAAAAGTTTTAATCTACATCAAAAGAGTGCAAGTGGTCAGTGACCATTTGATGACAGTTGTTGCATTCTGACTAACAAAGAACTCTTTCATGTAGAACAAATTGTAAGAGGACCATCAAATAACCATAGCTGTAAGAGTACAAAAGAACTGACCAGTTGTAAAAACATCATACATTGAAATAAATTTGATCGATGGTGCTCAAAGAAATGTCCCTTTACTCGAGAAGCCCAGACCTCTGAGTCACTGTCAAGGTCCCAGAGCTCTGTCTGTTGCTGCAGGGGCCGATAGAGAGGAGGGCTAACGACACACTGTCAATGTTTAGCTTTCTAGGTCTGTTGGAAACTTGCCTCATAAATGATTTGCATATACAAGAACTCAGAGAAAGCATCCTGTTTTGTTGAGAGGTGCACCAAGGTACTTTTTCATCACTGGTTTCATAAGGAGGTTAGGTTAGCAGTCAGTCATCCTCTAATTTTTCTTTTGAGTTGGACCATTGTGAATGGAGTCTATAAAATATATTTGAACTTGATAGTGCTAATCTTTTAAACTGAATCTGCACAGCTTAGCAAAACAGGAATACCTGTATACAGACTGATAGTATGTCATATATTAATTTGACCTGCACATACATTTATACATTTCACAGAAATGACGCTGTATCTCATTAACAGATACACAGCTCTGGTACATTTAACAGAAATAAGAGAACGACTTCATCATTTCTGTAATTCATCAGTATTATATAATAAAGGCTTATAAATTGTTAGCAGAAAGAACTGTAAAACGCAGCAAGCTAAGAAAGGACAACATTTTGAGGTGTGTTTGTCTTTGTCATGCAGCATAACACCAAATTTGTTTTTTTTTTTTTAATAGGATGCCATGAATTTAAGGCACTTGCAACAATGCCAGATAGCCAGGTCATGTTCTAAACTATGGGACAGATGAGTTAACAGTACAGTTGACATAATTTTCAATAATACTGACAATTATGACATTAATTCAAGTCTACTTATACCTAAAAACATTATTCAATACAAATAAAATGAAATAATAATGCTGTGAAACACTAAAAAATGTTATATGTACCACAAAATATCACACAAAAATATCTATTTACATAAATATCTGTCTGTGGTCCTATTGTGAAAGAAAACATTGTTATGGATAATGCAGAAATCACCTCTACTGCATGAAATCGTTTCTAATATCCTTAATTCCAATATGGTAGCTGACTTCTTTCATTTTAAGCTTACCATCAGTGTAGTCATTTAAAAAGAAAACAAGGAAAATTCAATAGTTACATTTATATATTATACATGTGTAGTTCACATGCATACCCCACGATTTTAAATAAAAATGATTTGTAAAGAACATAATCAAAATAAATGATTTAAATGCCACATGGATCTGATTCATATATTAATAACAAAGAAGGTACAAACATAAACGTCATTTATAAGAATTTTCTAGAAATCATTTTTTCTAATGTATTCAATCTATCTCATATACATTATTGTGATGTTCCTTTCCTTGGCAGTTTTCAGTTTTCCTGTGGGTCAAGATACACAGAAAGCCCTTATTTCCCATACTCAAAGTAGTAACAAGAAAGCCAGTTAACAAATCAAACAGGTTGTCACTATTCTAACTTATCCAGATGTTCTTTAGTGTAGGAAAACAGAGGGGATGTGAGAAATGGAGAAGTAAAGTGAGACACACTCTATGAAGCTGTCCATGAATTTTAGCCCTAGTGTCTTCATTGAGACAAGATTTAAATCCTTAAAATTCAATGTGGAAAATTAATGAATGTTCTCCTTAGTAATTCTTGGATGATGTAGTTCACTTTAATTTTTGGGTGATTGCTTTAGACATCCTAATGCAATTCCACAGATGAAATGACCAAAGATGCAATAACAAGTGGGAGAAACTACCGACAGATACATTACACTGCACACTACTTGCTTCTCTACAGAACTTGCACATATTGGTTGTCTTAGACTTGAACCACAGTTCCAAAATCCATAGTAAGTGCTCATCTCTGGGGCTGTTGAGATATTGGAAAAGCTGCAGAAGCAGATTCTTTTACCTAATGACTAGGTAAATTTAATATTCTAGCACATCTTTAGCATGCCTAGCCCATTCTTTTTAACAAAAATCACTGAACATTAACTATAGTGTCAAAATTATATATTTTTTAAAAGCCCAATTAAAGCATTCTAAAACTTCTGAAATAGCATTTGTAGTTGGATTTTAGGCTGGTGTGTTTAATTTTATGTTCTAAAATCTGTAGAAGGAAGTGGATATCTTGATTTTGAGAAATTGTTTATAAGGGAGGGAAAAACTCCATTAACACAAAAATAACAATAACATCTTAGAATCAAAGTTGTGATTTAATTTTATGCTAATTATATATAATATGCCCTTACTACTTTTATTCTCCAAATGTTTCTTAGATTATTATATTTTGATAAGATACATTCTAAAGTAGTCTCAGTACAAACAATTCAAACCAAAATAATAATATGTACCTTCTTGGATGCAATATAATGATCTAAATGACCTAGGTGAACTTATTATTTTTTTTGCAGAAATGTCTATATTTGTATTTTTAAAAGAACTCTCTACTGGAAAAATGCAAACCACTATGTAATATACCAATTTTGCACGCAGTTCCAAATCGGGATGACAACTATGCATTTGTCTGAGTCGATATAATGCTATTTGCCCAGGAAAAGCTTCCCAATGGTTCTGTTACTTACCACAGCTAATAAGTGACCTGGACTGGCAACAAAGGACTCAGTTTAAATTGCTAATTCTTTTTCCCATGTCAAAAAAGCAAATCAGTTTGATATTCTCAAATCCAATCTTTTCTAGGTAGTATGATAATTCTAGGATTGTAATATTTTTGTTCTATTCAGCTGATCTTATTTTTAAGGAATCAGGATCCTGTGCTCTCTGCTTCCTTCCTACTTTCACAAGCACATGGACTCATAACAGCTAATTCATGAAAAGGTAACCAATACCTGGCCAAGCTCTTATCTCATTCACATAAGTAAGGTCTCTTATGTGGAGAATTGGAGAATCTCAATGATTTTGTGCTTTCTTCATTTTTGGTTCAGGCCTAAGACAAGCTAGTTCAGACAGTTTCTAATCACCTTTCTCCATCAACCCTAGACTGTAAGTGAAATCTGACAGGAGTTTGGTTTGGTAAATCTGGTGAAAATGCTTGAGTCTCTGGCTACACATGTAATGATTAGAATCTGTGTGGTCTGTTCAGACACTGACATTTACAGATGAAAGATATACATAGCACCTATATAGTTTTTATTTTATTTTTATTTTTTGGATGAATCTCTATCCCTCTCCATCCCGCCCCACCCTGACCCCAAGGGTTTATTTTTATAAAAGGGGATATTTTAAGCCTCAGTTTGAGGGTGTGTTAGGTAATAAAGAAAAACCAATTGGCTGCTAGTCACTTAATTCCAGGACCATCTTTAAACACAATATTTAAAAAAATATGAAATGGTTGTGAATTGCTTTTTTCCCACTCTGTCATGCCAATTTATCAAAAAGAAACATATCATGCACATTGCTTTTTTCCAATCCTCTGTGAAAAACGCATATATACCTGCTATGAGAGTTCTCAGCAGAATCCATAGCAGTTGTGCTTTTAACATATCAATTTTTTTAAATCTGTCAGAAAGGAAAGGTAACATTCAGTCTTGTCATCAGCACTGCTGGGAAATGAAATCATGAAACTTCTAGCACTGGTTTGACATGAACTCTGTGACCAACAGATGTGTGGTCCTCTTTTGTACGGTATATACACCGGCCCGCGGTAATAGATCCTACAACCCTCACTTGAAGAAAGGGAAGAGCCCAGTTTTTGTACCATAGAAATCTATCGTACCCAATATATTACTTTTTGATCTTCTTGATAATTCTAGCAAGGTACATACTCTTTTACTAGATTGAAGTGTTTCTTACTGTCTTTCAAATTATAATCACAGCGAAGCAAGATCATTGCAACAATAGGAAACATCTTTTTACTGGTGAAAGGCTTTGCTTCAGGACCACCATGTCAACTGCTATTTTTAGGTTCAAACAGAAAACATGTAAAGAGCACTATTGTCATCTAAGCGATAAGTCCTAATGCCACTGGAGTTACTGGAGCAGCATCGATCAAAGGCATCATGGTGACCCCGAGCACTAATCTTCTCTCTTTCCCTCAGGTTTGCTGGCAGCTGTGTCTCAGAAAAAGCTGTCTTCAGCAAGGCAGAAGCAGGTAAGAGAAATACATTAGAAGTCTATGTCCCATCCTGAGTTGTCATCAGGTGGTGGTTCGTCATTGTCCTCAGGGAAACTGTCAAAATTGCTTGTGTCTGTGGGTGATGCAACCTAAAGACGAGAGAATGAATAGTAAAAAGGTGGTTGATTTTTTTAGTAAAATCCCATGGTAGATTTTAAAATAACATTCTTTATTCATTCCCTAGTCAAGTGACTGTTTTTTTGAGTGTCTACTAGGTAGCAGGTTTTGTCCTTTGTTGTACTGGGGGTAACAGAAGTGATTATAAATAAATATGGTTCTTGCCCTCATGCAGTTTATAATCTAGTAAGGAATATATAGCAATTATCTATAGATTTTGCGATTATATATTTGTTTTACAGTTTGGTTAGTGCTATGGGGGGGGGGGAGGTGCCATGAGAGTTAAGTGTCATCGTGGAAAGCCTCTTTGAAAAAGTGGTATTTTCAACCTAAGAATCAGTGCGTTCAGTAAAGAGGAAATAGCACATGCAAAGGTCCTGAGGTGAGAGAGAGCTCCATGTGTAAGTAACCAAAAGAGGCCAACATGGCTGTTGTATAAGATAGAAGGGGAGTGGAATGATAAGTGGGAGAAGTAGGGAGAAGTCAGGTTATATAGAGCCTTGTAGACCATCTTAAAGATTTTGTGTATTTATTCCAGGTATAATAATCAGCTATTTCTAAACTTAAGCAAAACTCTTGCAGATTTACTGGGCAAAGTTCAACCTGTAGGACATCAGTAAAAGCAGTGAAGAAACAGTTTAGTTTCCCTGATATTCTAATATTTAAAACCATTTACAGATAAAAATGTCCCCATTTAATGTTACCATTGCATACAAGGAGGGCCCCTGATAAGTTTCATTTAGGGTAGTTTAGGCATAATATTTATTCCTCCAAGTTTCTCATTCTCCTAAAACAAAACCTTATGAGTGCAGTGAGCATCTGTAATGCGAGAAAATGCTAATGGCATTTTTGTTTTGTTGGTGTTTGTGAATAAACATAAACATTAGCACAGAAATGAATCTCAGAAGGAAGGGAATGTTTCTGTATAAAGAGCAGTCCTGAGTTAGTCCCAGAAGGACATACAATGTAGAGGGCTGAGGACCACAGAGCAGCCTCTTCCCTTAGTTGGATGGAGCACATTTTCTTAGACATCTGCCGTATTGAACAAAAATATAAATGCAATAAATTAAAATTGGTTTCAAGTTACTTGAAACACCGTAGTCCCTTTAATAGAATGGCTACTTAACAAAAATCTTGATGTGTTAAAAGATAATCTATTTTTTTTCCACCTAGAGTCTGATGAAAGAACAAAAGAACATAGTTGTGCCTACAAGTTCCTCAAAGTAATATGGGGCAGTACTTCATCTTTCTATGGCTGAGTGCTGTTCCATTGCCTGTAAGTAAACATCTTCATCTAATCATCCGTCGGAGGACATTTAGGTTGTTTCTATGTCTTGGCTATTATGGCTAATGCTCCAATAAACGCAGTGGTACAAATAACTTTATGAATAAGTGTTTTGAAAATGTTGGGGGTAGATACCCAGAAGAGAGATTGCTGGGTATTACAGGTGCTCTAGTCTTAACTTTTCGAGGAACCTCTATACTGTTTTCCATAGAGGCAGCACCAATTTATATTCCTACCAGCAATGTGCCAGGATCCCCTTTTCTCCACACCCTCTCCAACGCTTATTTCTTGTCTTGTTGATAACAGCCATGATAACAGGTGTGAGGTGGCATCTCACTGTGGTTCGATTTGCATTTCCCTCATAGTTAGTGAAGTTGAGCATCTTTTGATGTATCTGTTGGACACCTGTATGTTTTGTTATGGAAAATATCTGTTCAAGCCCTTTGCCTATTTTAAAATTGTTTTTTGTGGGTGTTTTGTTTTTTTTTGCTATTGTCGTTGAGTTATATGAATTCTTTATATGTTATGGATATTAGAACCTTATCAAAGGTAACATTTGCAAATATTTTCTCCCATTTGGTTGGTTGCCTTTTTGTTTTGTTGATGGTTCCTTTTGCTGAGCAGAAGCTTCTTAGTTTGATGTAGTCTAATTCACTTATTTTTACTTTACTTCTATTGTTTTGGGGATCAAGTTCACAAAAACCCCTTTGAGACCAAGGTCCATAGTTTAAAATACTTAGAAGAAAACAGGGGTACTATTGTTTTAGGTCTTATATTAAAATCTTTAACCCATTTTGAGTTACTTTTTGTGTAAGGCATCAGATAGTTTCATTTTTTGCATGTAGCTTTCCAATTTTCCCAATGCCATTTATTGAAGGGGCTTTCCTTTCTTCATTGTATACTTTATTGAAAATTAGTTGCCCAGATATGTGTGGATTTATTTCGGGGCTCTCAATTTTCTTCCATTTTTTTCTGTGTCTATTTTTCTGTAATACCATATTGTTTTAAATATGGTGGTTTTGTAGTATAGTTTGAAGACTGGGGGAAAAAAAAGTAATATGGGAACAAGGGAAGAGGAACCATGTGGGGGCATAAGTGAAACAATATTGGCCAGAAATGCACAGTGTTGAAAATGGTTGCTGATCTGATGACCATACTCTACCAGAAACCAAAGGGCAAAGGAATGCTTTGATGTGGCTCCTATGGTTTAGGCTCTTGGGGACAGAGCAAGATAGAGAGTAAATTGGAATCATAAACAAAAAATAACACACATTGTCCTAACTCATCCAAGTATACTCACATACATACTCTTATGTAGAGAGAACATATATGTGAAGAAACTTAAAGTACACATATTTCTGGTAATAATTCATGAATGTGACTAATTCATTAAAATTGCTAATACATTCTTATTCTTGGGTAATGATGTATAAAGTTTATAATGGAAAAAGCACACCTGGTGGCTGGAGATTCATTATACTCTTCTGTCTACACCAATATATATTTAACACGTATAATACTAAAAGTCAACTTTTATTCATAAATAAAAGAAACTTAAATTAGAATGAATAGCTAAAAAATATAACGGTAAATTATATATATAATAACCATCCCCTAGGATTTTTAGATGTAATTATTTTAATGTAGTACTTCTATTGTTTATTTAATCTGCTCATAGGATAAAACTTTAATGATAACAGATCTTTGATGACTGACAAACACCTTCATGTACATCACACATAGACAGACCGGAAAGTCTACTTACACTTGGTATTATAGGAGGTGTCAAGGTGCCTTTTCTTAAGCCTTCCCAATTAAAGCCCTCAAACCATCTAGGAAAGGAAGAAAAGTAAGAGAGTTAAAAGCATTTCACCTCAGTTCAAACCTTCTCAATGCAACACACATAATGTCCATGACTGATAGAAAGCAGTTAGGGAAACATCTTCAAGGTGACAAAAATGTTTTCTATTTAATTGCAGATTTTTTAAAAAAGAGCTTATTTTGTGGAATGCATCTTCCAAAAAATCGAATTGTCAACTCTTTAGACACCAATTAGAAAGCAATTCCTTTTTATTCTAGTAATTTCAGTCGAGATGTCTGCATAACCTTGTTCCTACACTATCATTATAACCTTAAAAATGTCATAACAAGCTTGGCCCTGTGTCTTACAGAATATTTTATTTTAAGGAGGTGGAATCAGGCATGAAAATCAGGACAGAAAATTATCTTCCCATCTTTGTCACTAATTCATTAGGCAGCCTCAGTTAATTAACCTTTCACATCTCATTTTACTCCCCCCTCCCTTTTTTTTTTTAATACAATGAAGATAGTTTGTGTACAGCTTTTCTCTGGAAATGTGGACCAAATAACAAAGGGTTTTTTTGTTTGCGTGGTTGGTTGTTGTGTTTTTGTCTTTGAAAGAGTTCACCATTAGCAAATGCTTACACCAAAGTCTTATCAGACCTTTGAGATATTCATAGGTATTTTAGTATATAAATTACTCCGGTAAGAATGTGAATTTCCTGTGACTGTTACAGAAACAGACAAACGGGGAAAAACAGTGTGGTCTTAGGTTAGCTCTAGAACATCCACCAACAAGCATAAGGTCTGATATTTAAGGTGCTCTATTTATTTGTAAAGACTATATTCTGTACTTTTTTTCTGTCATATTATTTAATTAGGAAATGGTTGGAAAATATATTTTGGATCTAGTCTAGGAAATATGACGATATGGTGGAGGGTTTTGTTTTTAACATTCTGGTAGGGACAGAATCCCAGAAATAAAATATACATTTCTTCTGGCTAATTGTATCAGTTATTAACCACTAACCTAAAAAAACCAACAGCCTGGGGAAATGCTTGTTAGGTTTTCTGAACTCTCGAGCTTAAAATTTCAGGGAAAGAATACTTACTTGTGCTTTTGAATGTCTTTCACTCCATTTTTCAAATTCCCTAATCTTTCTGATGGGTTGTCCCTAAAAAAATAATAATAATTGATAAGAAATCTAATTTTGTCCCACATTATAAGCCTTTCAAAAACATTATAATTGAAATGCTTACCTGCATAGTTTTTTAATTAAATTAGCAGCATTTTTGGCAATCTTCTTTGGAAATTCTATCATGTCAATCCCTCTCAATATGATGTTATAGGTTTTCATAGGATCTGGGCCTGAGAAAGGTGGGCTGCAAGAATGTGAGACATGAAAAGACATATTACTTTTATTTTCTAAATAAGAAAACTTAAATTTTTATAACTCCATAAGTGACATCAATTCTTATTTTGGGGCTTATATTGGGATGATAATGGAATAAAACTTGATTAATAGCAAAAGTGTGGAAGTCTTTCTAAGTAAGCCACTTAGCAAGACCGCAAATAGGTCAAGTTTGTCTGCTGTTTCCCTCATTTCTGTGTAGCTGGAATAGATTAATTGAATCTAAACCTAAAACTGGAGATGAATTCATCTTTTCCTGAGTCAGACTGTGAATGCAAGAAAGGAATTGGTGTATGTAGAAGGTGGTTGTAGTTGTGAGAGGGGTAGAGAATGGGTCCTCTTGGGCCCTTTCTGATTGCTAACCTTAAATGGGGTAGCTACCCTGAAGAATAGAATAGGCAAGGTTAGGAGGAAGGGAGCAAGTGGGAAATTCAGGATCCTTCACTAGGATTTGTTGCCTTAGAAAACCTCTCATTGATCCTTCACTAGGATTTGTTGCCTTAGAAAACCAGATCATTGATTTCACTTGCCCTCAATTCTTGGTGTTCAGGAGACACATGGCTCATAGGAAAGCCCTACCATGTTCTCTGAAATCTTGTCGTTCTTGCCACTCTCCCTTTATTTGCTCCCTTATCATTTATTGGCCAACATGATAGGCCTTAAAAAGAAGAAGTGGCATATCTGTCTGAGATCGCCTTCTCCTCAGTTCCTCTGCCATTCTGTAGCGCTTAACTGCATCTCTACATTAACATTCCTTGCTTCTCTTGTTCACCTGATGTATGGAAATCGCTTAGCCAGCTTTTAGTTTTATTTTCAGCAAAAGTTGTTGCATAAGTAGCTACAGTGTGTTCATGGAAGAAGGTGAGTTCAATATCCTCTTGCATTGCCATCTTGAGTCATATCCCTCCCTCAGTGCATTTATTTTTAACCGTAAGTAGTTTTTATGATATAAGTATGTATGGTAATAAATTAAGTTCAGCTTTGGTCATACCGCACAGATTGTGATTTATAGTGCTTTATTTTTATTAATGTTTTGCTATTCCATAAACTCTATGACCCTGTGGTTATTTTAAAAAGTGCTTTTTAAATTTTCAAGTGTTTAAACTTTTTCTTTTAAAATCTTTGTATTAATTTCTAATTTTACTCTATGTCAGTCAGGCATTTGGACCTGTGAAATTTCTACTTGAAACAATTAAGAATTCTTCTGTTAAGAATTTTTTAGAGTTCAGTATATACCATGTTTTAAGAACATGGTATCATTTTTTCTTTATTACTCATGGAATAATGATGGTAGAAAATTTTTAAATGCATAAGGACAAATAGAAATTACCATGGTTAACATTTTAGTCTAGTTATTAATGGTTGATATTTTAACTTTTAGTTAATAGAGTTTTCCTCCATTCATTATATAATTGGTTTTTATAGCAATTCAAAAAATACCAGAAAGGTGTTAAATTCAACCTTTTCTATTGTCCAAATCTTTTATATACTTACACATCTACAAAATGCATCATATATTTAAAACAGTCTACCTTTATGTCAATGGCAAATGTTAAAGAAAACTGGGTTAAGTCACAGATAATTTATTTAAAATCAACATATAAGTTTTAAGAGTAATAATTTAGTGTCTACAAATAAAACTAAAAGCACAGCTTAACTATTCTTGGCAATGACAGGAAGCACTCCGTGAATGCTGACAGCTACTACTGCTACTATGTTCTAGACACTCTTCTAAGTGCTTCATATATTCACTAAATCCTCACTAAGGACAGTGAGTCTTACGGCTTCCTCTCATTTTCACTGTAGCCACTAAAGTCTCTTAACTAATTCTTTCGCATCCCACTTCATGCTTAACCCTTTCTTCCCACTGTCCCTACCTTATTCTGGGCTCTCAGCTTCCGAGATCTAAATTATTGAAACAGTCTTCAAAGTAGCCCATCCAGCTTCTGATTTGCCCTTTGCCCTACATGTTTCTGCTAGCTGTTTTTCCTTAAATATCACAACACATACCACTCCTTTGTCAGAAAATACTCAATGATTTCCTCCCTGGATGGAGTTCAAACATTCAAATATAACAATCATGATCCCTGAAAGGACACTAATTGACTTCCCATCTTTTTTCTTTTTTTTTTTTGGACATGAACCATCTTCATGACTTGGCCCACTACGGCTTCTCTGTTTAAGTCATGTGTCACTTCCAGGAATGCCTGCGCCCCTTGCTCACTCTCTGAAGTCTTTTCTTCTTCGAAATCCTCCTGGGATCAACCCCAGCCTTCTGAACTCTGTAGATCATGATGATCCCATTGCTCGTTTCCCTGAGTGCATGGCTTGCGGGTGTATTTGATTTTCTTTTCCTTGAGAGGTTTATAGTGTGCTTTATACTTGGTAGTATCCACAGTACCCTTTTTCTAGTTGTTTATGACTAAAGCATTATTACATAAAAGACCTGAAAAGCATTCAAATTTCATTTAGATATAACAACTGCTAAGAGGCCCTCTTATTTATATAAGTAGTTGACTCTATATATTTTTATACAACTGTAATTTCCCCTTGCTTCTTTGCTGGCTAAATGACTAGGCGCCAAGGTCTCACAGAAAGATACCAGCGCATCCCATATTCACATGCATCTAAGGCAGCAGCAATAATGGGACCAAAAGTTGCTGTTTGAGTTCATTACCCTCATCTGCCTCATTTTAAACTTTGTTTTATGAACTCCTGGTCATCTCTATAACTAATTGAAGTGTGGCAACAAGATATGGTGAAAAGTGCTTTAAGATGGTCTAATGACAGTGACAAAGGCAGGTGTGTGGCTGTTTTCTGGTCTATTTTTATCAGAAGTTCTCTATCAATGTCCATACCTGCCAGTCAGGAGTTCATACATTAGAATTCCCAGTGACCAATAGTCGGCTGAAATGTCATGGCCTTTGTTCAGGATGATCTCTGGGGCTACATACTCCGGAGTCCCACAAAAAGTCCATGTTTTCTTTCCAAATCCTATTTTCTTTGCAAAGCCAAAATCAACCTTACATAGAGCGAAAAACAAGATATGTTAAGCCACTTCTGATTAAGTTTAAAAGCAAGATGTTACTTTGCTGAAGTACACCAATGATAATAATAAAAAAATAATAAAATCAGATGTAAGTTATAGTTCTGTCTTCTAAAAGGAGTCATCCATTTTTCAGACAAAGCCTGCCTGACCAAACTTGGTTTCAACAGGGTAAGTTGAAATCTGAGTCGATTTAAATTATAAATAAAGGCAAATTTTCTTTCTGGAAACACTTTCCGTTTTTCCTTTGTTGATGCCAGTGGATGTTGGGGCATAAACAAATAATTTCTCCTTTACTCAAAAATTTTAAAGTCTAGAAAATATGTCAAGTAGGTTCAACTAGAGTATATATATCTGCTGGATTTAATGAAAGTGATAATTCATTTAGTATTAATTCAGAAGACACTTTACTGTTGAAGAAACGAATAAAATTATGAGATCAATGACTGCTCCTGGTAAACACAAACAGATATAAAAATGAAGATGTTTCCTTTATTTTTCTAGAAACCTTTTGATGGAGACTCAAATGAAGAAAATATCTATTTTCCTAAACAATTTGGTTGAGAATACAAATAATTAACCATCATTTATTTGATTTCTTTGAAAATCTTATGCTAAATAAAAATTCTCGAAGTTAAAAAATTGAATCAGGTACTAACAAGAATCAAAGCCCTCAAAAGTCATGCATTTTAAAAAATATAAATAAATAAGAACTTACGTTCTTCAATAAGTCTTTAGTTTTTGACTAATTTTTAAAAAATATTACTAGTACTACCATTATTATTAACATGGTCTAGATACAATTGTCTGCGAAGCCCAGTTTTTCCATTTTTATTGTTCTTAATTCTAAAATATTAAAATGATTCACAATTTTCCATAATATAAAAATACAGTCCCTTTGGATGGCAGAGAACCAGCTAGAAAAAGAACCTCTATAGAGCTCTTGTAGGTCTATGAACACATGCCAGCAAGCATTAGTCCACTTCAGCATGTTTTGCCAGGATATTATTAATTCACACCTAGCCAATTTAATTTCTCATAACTTTAAAGAATAGTTACAATAAAACAGTAACACTAAAACCTGCTTTTAAGAAGAGTTCTAATATGTAAAAAGAAAAATGAGATTTTATGTTAGCAAATGCATGCAGCTTTATAAACCAGTATTTTAAAACTGCAGGGCAGAAAATGTGTGCAGTACACTGACCAGTTTGGCGTAACCTCGGTGATCCAGGATGAGATTTTCTGGCTTGAGGTCCCTGTAGATGATTCCTTTGGAATGCAGATAGGCAAAAGCTTCTACCACACATGCTGTGTAAAATCTGGTTGTAGAATCTTCAAATGACCCTCTGAGATACAGGAAATGGAAAGAAAAGTATATAAGACATGTTTCTCTAATAAGGTTTTATTTTCCGTTTCACGTTATTCCTGTAAAAAAATTTGACCCCAGAGACCAGATCCTACTGGCCAAATGTCAATAGAACTGGGTTTTCAAAGGCATCTGTGGATCAAATGAAGGAATTCTTTGCCCTTATGAACAGGATAGTTTAGTCTAACTTCCTGAAAACTTTGAAGATTTTTGACACATACCAAGTTTCATGGACCTGGTGGCTTCCTCCCCGTGGCCTGCTATGATCTAAAAAGTTATAGTTACCGTGGTGGGCAGAAGAGAGGCAAATCTTACTATAGACCTTGTCTTCCAAGGGGTGTTTTTTAAAGGAGAGTTTTTGAGTTTAGCCATATGTATTCACAAAGGGCTTATTGTTTAATCTTTGTAAATACTATAGATACGGTTCATGAGACTGTGATTAGAAGTTGATATTTTCAAGGACCACTTTGGAAATGAGTTGGGATGCTTCTGATACAATCATATCGCAAGCTAAATTTTCTCCTATGTTTGAAACTGATGTCAAGACAAACAATACCTGTTTCTTACGCTGCTGCCTTCTTTTTAGAAAGACAGAAGGAGCTGAAAGACAATTAGCAGAAAAAGGTAATTGGATGGGAAAGCTTATTAGTAAGCTTGATTATGATGTTTAGCAGAAAAGCTCTCTTTGTCTCTCTGTCTCTGCCTCTTGTGTATTTATTTAATGAAATAATTATAAAGGGAAAGACCTTGGCATCTGAGGTTAACTCCTTGGTTCTAGGCCAGGACCTTTATACTTTATAAGGAATTCAATTAAAAATAGTTAAAGATCAACTATGATTTTTTCCCTCTTTTCCCAGCAGTAAACACAATTTAACCATTTCATGATGATACAGGAACATCAGTGTGAACATCAGCTCTTGAGCGGTTACATGGCTAAGATGTAACATGAGAGCCAGCACTTGGGCAGTTTTAGGAGATGCGCAACAAAGCGGAGCTCCAGAACGTGCTTTCATGAGCATCACCGAGGCCAGTTTGCATTTTGATGACATTGGCTTCTTTTTTCAGTACTCAGAAGTAAACTCTAACACATTGGGAAGAAAAATATATCTGCTGTTTTATAAAATTAATCAGTGAATCCAAGGCGAACACAGCCACCTTCAGGTCATTTTTTAGAAATATTGTGTCTTCCAGAAAGGTATTCTTCATTTCAACCCCTAAAGTCCCCTGAGTTGTCACTGAAATAATTAGCTCTTCCCCAAAGAAATCTTTCTTTGGAAATACAATCTGAGACATGATGATATCTCTTCTTGATAACTAGAATGTTAACTGTGATTACTAAGATTTTAGTACCTCTCTTCAACACTATCTGAGTAAAACAACTGTGAATTATAAGGACAAGAAAAAGTTTGAGAAAAATTGCACCTATATTAGAAAATGAATAATATGCTTTATGCTGCCGTTGCCTTCTGACTTGGAGTTATCTTTGCCAAGTTAACGCTATATAACCCTGTGTATTGGGAAATGGGGTTTAGGTAGTACCTTTAAGGTCCTGTCCTTTCATCTTTGTGCTTAATTATGCAGGTTTGTCTATCAAAAGCAGTATATTTCTTTCAGCTGGAGAGATTATTTGTGTTAAATAGTAATCCACAATAGATAATTACTGATCTATACATAATAGATAATAGACCATTTACGCAGAGCTTGAACTCGTTGAGTGCTGTATGTGACTGCATTCCTCCTCAATGGAGAGCTCAGCAAAGCAAAGCAAAGCAAAACAACAGTACACAGAGTAGAGCCTTATCTTATTTCACATTACATATTTTGTTTTAATAAGAAAATTGATTACTTCCTTGTACCAGGACTGTCTACATATAATTTGGGTGGGCCTTTTGAAATCCTACAAATTCTCTATTACCGTTAGAGGAGATACTTTCTGCAGCTGTGACTTTGGGCAACATATCTCTGTTTTCCTTAATACTCAGTTGTTAATGGAACCAAATGAGCAAATGCATTGTTAATGAAGGCTCTGCTGAAGGGTACTCATATTTATATTCTGAATAAGCTGATCATTAGCAGGAAGATGAAAATTCTTAATACAACTCAAAGCCATCAGAGGGGGCTATAGGTTAGGAACATGGACTCTGAAGTAAGAATCCTGAGCTCAAATCTAGGTTTCACTTACTGTACAACTAACTATACCTTTCTGGGTCTGTGTTCTCCTCTGCAAAATTAGACCAATAAAAGAAACTATTTCATTGAGTTGTCATAAGAATTGATGCATACATTTAAAATAAGTACCTGGCATACAACTGATACTCAATAAATTTAATAGCCAATATAACTAAGCACCAAAAAGCTCTTCTTTAGCTACTGTTTTAATGTAGGAAAAGTGACTGCACAGGACAGGTCTAAAGTCTTTGGGGGCTGAGGAGGGGAGTTTACAACACTAATTATCTATTTTTGAGTATTTGCCACTTCTCACTGCCAAGGCTAACAAGTCAACTTTGAAGAGTCTAATGCTAATGCCTGTTCCTTTTACTTTTTCATGGTTCTCACAAATGTATGGACAAAAATTACTCTTTTATTGCCTGCCAATCAAAAACATTTTTTCATCACTGTGTGAACTGACCACAAATCATAAATCTTTGGGTCTTCAGTTCTCGACAGCTCTGTTTATTTGTTTCATGATTTATCTTCTTCTGAGCCACTCTGAAATTTGGAAGATCCTAGAAAGCTGTTTTCCATTCGTTCAACAGATTTATACTCAAAGACTCCCATATAGAAATATATTTGCAACTGCTTTTAAAAATTAAGTGAAAACCTTTCCATGTTATATGACAAATTGGCAGAACATATGGCCACAAAATGTTTATCTGCGACACAGTTTCATCGCTAAGCTTTTGATGTACATAATGTAGGATTTTAAATCCTCTTTTAGAAAGCAGTCACAAAGCATTGTATAAGGGTGACACAAAATGAAAAATTACTATTAGAATTGGAAATGACAATATAAATTTGAGCTAAATATAAACGAAAGCTTGTTTTATCAACACTTAGAAAGTGACTTAAAGAAATAAATCACTCTGCCTCATAGCTCTCTGAAATAATAAATTATGGCTTGACAGGGGTGCCATTTCAATTTTATACCCTTTTGGGGAATGGGCAGTTATTTTAGCGAGGTGGCGGTATATAACAAGTTTTACAAAGAGAATTAGACGGTTATGTATACGTATCGATGGTCACATATTAAAATCAAATCATTATGTTTAATCCACTTGTCATAAACTGAGTCCTGAAATGGCAAAATGTAACAAAGACAAAGCATCTCTCACCCAAAGATAAGTTCCCTCCTTTCACGGGCTGGTAATAATCATTAATGAATGTACAAGCATGAATTATCTTGCAACCTGTGCAGGTTTCTTGCCAATTGTAAAGTTCGGGAGGATAAATATGAAAACACTCATTTTTTGGAAATACTTTCAATCTGTACTACCTATTATTAGATCATTTAAGGTGGAATATAAATAATCACCCTCCATAGGACTTCTGGTCAAGATGGGAAGTAGAAAAATGCTGTGGAGACCTCAGGGCACCAGTGTCAGGAAGAGGAGTCTGTAACTTCTGGCTGTGAAAATCAGTGCGCATTGGATTCCAAGCAAGACTGAGGGCTGCTGCAGCCCCAGGCATTTCCCTTTAGGGGCTGTGCATGGATTCACTTGCTCACAAACAACTAGCTTCGGGCTCCAGCGCAGAGGCAGAGTGCCAGGAACATATAGGGAGGAACTGATTGACTGGCTTCAGGGTGAGTGCTGGAGGAGCAGGGGTCAGAGGCTGTCTCTGGAGACCGAAGTGCTGGCAGGCACAGGCAAGTGCCAAATCTGAGGTCTCCATTAACCTGGATAATACCATTCTCCTCACTCTGGTGATTACCTGAGACCCTGCCACACCCAATTCACATGTCCAGCTGAATCTCTTCCAGTGGCTTCCCCGCATAAGTGGCCTATTTTGGCTCAGACATTCCTAAAATCTCTCAAAGGCCCACAAACCCCAAACAAGCAACAGCTAGACTCTGTGTGCCCTTTACTTCTTGCTAAAAGTGCTCTCAAGCCTGGCACAAGAGGCTACTAGTCTCACTTTGCACTGTAACTCCCATCAGGTGGCCCCAAGCCTGGCATAAGCTGTTACCACTGTTGGCCTAGAGCATAGCTTCAACTAAGCAGCCATAAAGCCAGAACAATAAATGGCTGGCCTCAGCCTACATTGTGGGGCTCACCAAAGGGTCCCAAGCCCAGTACTAGTGGCATCCAGCCTCAGTTCACAGTATAGCTTTTCCCAAGTGCCTCCAAGCCAAGCACTCGCAGCAACCAACTGTAGATCACTTTGTAGCTTCCACTGGGTGGCCCCAAGCTGGGCACAAACAGCAGCTGACTTTGACCAACACCAGAGCCCTTCTTAAGAACCTCCAGAACCTACACACCTGGTGCCCAGCTTCAGATCACACAAGAGCACCACCTAACCAGCTCCACAAATGACAAACCCAAAGGGTGGACTACGCTGGCACCAAAGCCTCGCTAAAGCAGCTCTCGCTCCATGAGGTCAGCTCCTGCACAACAGCTTGTCCTCTATAGTAATGGCCAGCCCTCAAAGTCAGCCTGAGAATTAATCCCCCCAGTGATGTGTCAGTGGAAATCAAGACTCATTACAATAGGAGGGCACACACACAAGGGACACCCTTGGAATACCAGGCTCAAGTGACTACGGAGACTGCACCATTGGGCCCCACAGGACACCTACTACATAAGGTCATTCTGCCAAAACCAGAAGATGTAGCAAATCTGCCTAATACATAGAAACAAACACAGGCAGTCAGCCAAAATGGGAGACAAAGAAAAATGTTCCAAATGAAAGAACAGGACAAAACTCCAGACAAAGAACTAAAAGAAATGGAGACTGGCAATCTACCAGATACAAAGTTCAAAACACTGAAGATAAGGATGCTTGATGAAATGAGGGGAAGAACAGAGTTTAAAAAACGATATTTTGAGAAACCTCTGGGACATCATCAAGGATATCTAAATTCACTCATATGAGTAGCAGAAGGAAAAGAGCTCAAGGGATTGAAAACCTCTTTGAAGAAATAATGACAAAAAAAATTCCTAACCTGGTGAAAGAAATACATAAAAGTCCAGGGAGCACAGAGTCCCAAATGAGATGAACCCAAAGAGGCTCAAACCAAGACACACCATAATTAAAATGCCAAAGTCTAAAGACAAGGAGAATCTTAAAAGCAGCAAGAAAAAAGCAGTTAGTTACATTCAAGGGAGCTCCCATAAAACTGTCAGTTTAATTCTCACAGAAACTTTGCAGGTCAGAAGGGAGTGACACAAAATATTCAAAGTGATGAAAAATAAAGATCTATGACAGAGATTGCTCTACCCAGCAAAGCTGTAATTTAGAATAGGAGAGATAAAGAGTTTCCCAGACAAAAAAATGCTGAAGAAGTTCATCACCACTAAATCAGCATTACAAGAAATGTTAAACGAACTTCTTTAAGAAGAAAAGATAAAAAAATATGAATTAAAAAGTTTAGGGGGAAAAAACCTCACCAACAAAGGAAAACAGTGGATCAACCAACTATAAACCAACTACAAAGGTTAAAAAACAAAAGTAGGAAGATCTTGTGTATCTACAACAACAGATTAAGGGATAAACACAAAAACACAAAAACACCCACAAAACCAGAAATGACAAAAACGACAAAAACATTATACATGGAAGCAATGAGTAAAAATTATAGTGATTTTAGAATGTATTTGAACTTAAGCAACCATCAACTTACAATAGACTGAGATCAACATAGCTTGGTATATGTGAAACTCATGGTAAACACAAACCAAAATCTGTAAGAGATATACCAGAGAAAGAAAACCAAACATAACACTATAAAGTTATCAACATATAGGAGAAGAGAGCAAGGGAATAAGAAAGGAACAGAGAACTACAAAAACAAATAATGGATTAAATGCCTCAATTAAAAGACATAGGGTGGCTGAATGGATTTTAAAAAAAGACCCATACATATGCTGCCTACAAGAAACCCATTTCAGATCAAAAGATACGCACAGACTAAAAGTAAATAGAAAAACAGGAAACAAAAAACAGTTGTAGGGGTTATGGAAGAAAGGTGAATAAAATACAGTTTGTAACAACCTATTTCAAGTGATGGAATAGAATATGTGGAGAGCAAAAAGTCACAAACTAGGAGATAAACCATGATAGCTAATAAAGACTAGGGAAAGAATTGCAACAATTAATATTTCATTGTTATAGTTTATATCTCAAAGATGAGAAAATATTTGTCTTCATATCCTGTTTATATATATGGCATCTTTTAATTCTTCTTGATAACAAATAAAACCTGCTCTGTGTTCCTTTTCTTTGCTGATGAGAAGAGAGGGAGACAGTAAATGATCATCTCAGCTGCGAGGTGAGAGAAGGGTGTCTGTTGCTGTTGGAGGCCTCCTGAGCTAAATTCCCAAGCCTCAGAGGAATTACCACATCAGGAAAGAATAAGATCACACGAAGATCTCCTAAAACTAACCCAAATTTGTTTCCTTTTTGCTTTCAAGTAGCTTCTCCCTTACCACTTCTTTGCTGGGACCCAAGAAGAAAATTGAATGAATTGAACAATATGGTCTGTTTTGACTAAGGATATTTTCCTATAAACTGGGACCACTTATTGATACTTAGGCCTCATGCATTTCTCCCAAGATAAGCTGCTGCTTAATAGCAGCTCTTCGCCGCCCTGACCAATCAAAATACATCTCACTCAGAAGCTTTGGGTGACAATTATGACCCAACAAAATGCAAACTCAAGTTAAATAGGGAGAAGTGGAAAATAATATTTTCTTTAAAAAAATAAGTTGAAATTGGATGCCTGTGCAAGATTGATGCCTCATGAATGGACTTCAGTTTTTATTGTTGTCTTGTTTAATAAGGTAATAGAAATTTAAAATAGTGGTTCCTTTCTTTATGTGGCTTATTATTACTTTCATGTTTACTTTAACCTGTAAATCTCCTAATTAGAACAGAGTAGAAATTTCAAATCAGTAGATTGAAAGGTCAGGTCAAAATAATACAGGAGAGCCCGGCCGAGCGTGGCTCAGCGGCTGAGCATCGACCTAGGATCCAGGTGATCGGGGTTCGATTCCCGGTCAGGGCACATGCCCGGGTTGTGGGCTCCATCCCCAGTTGGGGGCATGCAGGAGGCAGCCGATCATTGACTCTCTCATCATTGATGTTTCTCTCTCTCCTTTCCTCTCTCTGAAATCAATAAAAATATATTAAAAAAAATAATAATAATAATACAGGAGAACCATATTAGGATAAACCAGACATTAATTCACAAATGAAAATACTAAGTTTGTGCAAGAGCCTGTAAGTTTTGAGAAGTTGGACCACATATGTTTATCCTTGTATACCCAGCCTCTATCAAAATGCCTGGCACATAATCTGTACTCAAATATTAACTAACAATAATGTAATAATCTGCTATGATATAATAATTTAGTATAGATGTTAACCCTAACACTAACATGATGCATTGTCTTGTATGCTTACTTACCTTAAATAAGGTACCATAACACAATTAGGAATGACATGACTTTCAATCAATAGCTTGAAAAGAACCACTTGTTCTACTCCAGAATATCTACAAAGTAAGAAGTTGTCCAAAAATAACCTGGCTTTCTGGGAACATCAAGGCTGACCATAGTAGAGTTTCAGAAAGATTGTGAGGGGTAAGACTATAGCAAAGAGAAAAAAACAGATGTCTAAAGCTGAATGTTCAAAGGAACAAAGGATGATTTTTAAATGTTATTAGATTGTTAATAGAAAGTGATCAAAAGATCATTCACAGGAAAAGAAAATTGTGGCCTTTCTTTTAAGTAAACATTTAGGGTTGATAATAATCTCCAGAGACATTTCATAGAATATATATTTTTAAAGAGATTGTTTGCAAATTACATAGATATGAGATGGAAAATTAATTTTGCATAATTAAAAGAAACAAATAAGCTCTAACCAGACCAACTTTACTTTCCCTGAAAGGGCAAGAAGTAACTCTAAACTAGATTGCTTACATGAAATACTGCTTAAAGTGGATTAATTTTTTCCCCGAAGACCAGCTAAGGCCTGAAAGGGATGGCTGGAAACTTGCATTGATTTTGAAACCAAAGAGTAATGTAAAGGCAGAGGAGAAAGTTACTTGGGAAAAATTCTCAGTCAGGAAAGGAAGATTGCCCATCTGGAGGAGGAACGGAGCAGTTAAACTGATAGTCCATATTGCAACTGTACAATAACTAATGCTCTTCATGTTATAGCAATGAACTGAATTCTAGGTATATAGTTGTCTGATTCATCAGAATTAAGTTAAACTAAGTTCTTTATACATACCTCACTAGGTATCATTTTTATTGTGGACAAAGCCTATATTGTTAGTTACAAATCTGAAGCACAGGTAGTTTTCATATTTACAGAAAATCATATGTGGATAGTGGGTTGTGCCCCATATTTACCTTACATTTTGAAACATAAGCACGTGTAAAATGTAAATATGATTTTTCTACTTTATAATAATTGACTCTTTACAGACCATCATAGTCAACTACATTTTCAAAGACAGGATAGAAATTTCTTAAAACTCCTACCTATCCCTGAGAATGGTCCAGAGCTCTCCACCTAGGCAAGCTTCCATCAACATATACAAATATTTGCTGTCCTTAAATGTTCTGTATAGTCTGTGAATTGCAAACAAGAAAACAAAGGTTATAAACATTATTGCCCTTCAAAAGCATGTAAAGGTTTTGAGTGCCATGATTAGAGTAAGTTCTTGATTTGCCAAGCGTGAAATTTTATTAAAAAGATGAGAGGGATCTGAATCTACAAACAGGGAAAAGGGGCTAACGGTTCCTGACTAAGACTCACACGGTCGGGGGCCAGTCTCTCCTTTGAAATGTATTAATCCCAGTGATTATGGACAAAGAGGGCCTCTTGGGGTTCCTCCAATTACAACCTGGTTGACGTTTCAAGCATGAACTCTTGAGCAACATTTAGTGTTATAAACATGCAGTGTACATAGATATAAATAAGTTATGTTTTATAAATACAGACGTATGAAATTAGTGCACTGTTCACTTACGTTCATCTTATATCCCATTTTCAGCAAATGCCACAGGCAAGTGAACTAGAAAGACTTGTGCATTTAAACAAACTCCCCATTATTGTCTTATTAGTGCTCCGAAAAAACTGAGGTTGAACAGTCATTGCATTAAATTTTTTTTTTTTAAATATTCAAATACTTTAAAGGTAAAAAACAGTTTGATTTTTGATATTTTGTCTTTCAAGCACCAGAGGTCTATGCAGAATTTTGGAGTAATAGAGAGGATTAAAGTGAAATGTTAGACACACTGATTTCCCCTTTGGGAAAAACATGTTCTTTTCCCAGAATTTGATTCTCTTTAAAAACACACACACAACAACAATGATAAAATCTAATCTATTTTTTTTTGGCAAAAACTTTCTTGAAATCAGATTTAAAATGTTACTGTGTGCGACTAAAATGAGTAACGGTGAGTGCAGGTGACAGAGGGTTTGGTGGTGGATTTGCACTTGGAGTTGGCAGGATGTTTACCTCACTATGAAGTCGGAGTGAGCCCCCTGCATGATCTGCTTCTCCGAGCGGATGTGCTCCTGCTGTCTTGTATCCACAATGTGGCGTTTCTTGAGAATCTTCATTGCAAAGGTTTTGGATTCTTCACTTTTCAACTGGACCTTAAAGAAAGGCAGTAGCAAGTCAGAAAATGCCTGTAGAGTTAAAAAAACAGAGTGCACTCTTCACCCCAAATTATCGGGTGGATGGAGCACTTAAGTGACACCCTGATCACCACCTGAGTCACACAATAAATCCTCACCGGAACTGGGTTTAAAATTCAGGGCTCACAACTCTCATCCAATGTCATTCCACTAGGATCAGATGAACTGTAATTTAACTGGACTCTCGAATAATTTTGTGCCCACTTGTATCAGAAGGGAAATGTATTTGACTCTCATTTTTATTTCATTTCATATAATGTGTTTGCATATACTTGATAGTTTTTCAATCTAAAAAGTAGAAATAAAATCTAATTTCTTCTCCAATTTTACTGCAAGGAAGTGTGGTGAAAGTAGGATTAAATAGCCTTTTGCTCTTTCTCTTTAGTCCTGGTCCACAAACATTTCTAAAGTTGTAAAAGTATCTACTTTTATTTCTTTTTTAACCTTCCAGTCTTTCCCTTCCCTCCAGTTATAAGGAAGAAAAGTATAGTAAGATGTTTTTCAAGAGATTTATTTTTTATTTTAAAGACACAGCTTTATTTTTTTCAGTATGGCCTTTTCTCAAGGATTTAGTAATAGAAAGGAAAGAAATTCTGGTATCTAGAGATAAGTTAGGCTTGTTACATATTTTGGAGGAGCGGAAAGGAATGATTTAGAATTATCATTTTAATAACAATAGAATATGATTTATTTCAAAACCTTTTGAGAATGTGTTCCACCATCAATATTCCTCCCTTCCTGACGATGGGCTCCTGAAAAAAGGGTATACTCTAAATGTTTGTAATTCTAATCATATGTTAAATATCCTGGGTCTAAGGGAGTTTACTATTTCAAGGAAATCTTTGATAATCTCATATAGGATTTTTGATGTGTTGTGGAATTGTGCCCCTGAAACCTGTATAATTTTGTTAATCAGAATCACTGCAATAAATTCAATAAAAAGGGAAAAAAAGAATTTACAGCTAATTAGATGCCTTCCCATTGGGGCACATCTAGGGAAATTAAATTTAAAAATATTTCAAGCGATTTTGAAAACTTTTTTCTTCTCAGATATGCACAATAGCTTTAATCCTCTTGGACCTCAATCCTTACTCCTTAGGTATACTAATTGGGAGACCTAAACTGTGCCTTGATGACACCAAGGCCTCCAAGCCTCTGCCGTGGCCCCACATGGCTCCCAGGGGACCTGGAGTCCTCACATAAGCTGCTGGTCTGTGTTTATTGTTTTACAAAAAATTTCAACACAGTGACTAGTAATGAAAGAGAGAGATAACAGAGCTAATCACTTAATAGCAGTATTAAAGAGTTATCACCTAGGGCTCTCCAGCAACAGAATCCTCTAGTGAATGCCAAATAGCCCACATTATTCAGAAATAATGAAAGCCTTGAGGAAAAACATGACAAGCTGTTTCTGCTTTTCGGCTGAAGTATCCTGCCCCGCCTTTAGTTGTGAATTGTTTATGCTTCATCTGCAGGGATAGCGAAGTTCTTAAGTGTGTTGTTCATATGCACGTGTCCAGATTAAATTCAATCTGAGAGAACAGTAATGTGGCAAGTTCCCTAAGAGAGAACTTGAGGCCACTTCAAATAAATGGGCCTCAGTATGCTGCCAGCGTTTGTGAACCTATAGCACAGGCTAGAGGGGAAGACTGGATAACTGAAAATGCCTTAAGCCAAAGGCACTCGCCTCCATCTGTGAGACTCTTTAAAATGACAGATTAGTGGGATACAAAGGAATGCAGTTGTAGTTCAGAATAAAACACAAAATGTGAAAAGCCACTTCTAAGAGCAATTCAGGCAAATAGGAAAGATGGCATGAAACATGAGCTGTGTCACTCAGATTTAGAGAAGAAACAAAATCATATCCCTCTTTAGAGTCACCGTTAAATGACTTGACGACCCCTGTGTAGTTCATACACCTAATGTAAAAATATCCTCTGTAGTTATGATCGCACACATTTTTACTGCACGTCGGGTGGGAGGAAAGAACTCAGTCTTTAGGGCCACAGGTCCAGACTTAAATCCTGACCTTGTTTAAGGTCTCTCTGTCCCTTACTGAGTTATTGTGACCTTAAATGAGAAGGGCCACCAAATGGGCATTTATTGACGATCTCTCTTCCCTTTGAAACAAAGCCAGGTCATGTCATTACTCCTTTGCTCAGAACTCTTCAGTGGCTTCCCATCTCACTCATGGCAAAGACAAAGCTGTGACAAAGGCCTACAAGGTCCTATACCACCTGGACCCCTGCTACCCATGAGCCTCACTTCCCCCTTACTTGCTCTGTGGGGGTCACAACGGCCACCTTGCTATTCCTTGAGTACACCAAGCAAGCTCTTGCCTCAGGCTATTTGCTTGTGCTATTATTCTGCCTGAATATTCTCTCACAGATATCCTCAGGAGTCACCCTCTCACTTCCCTGGGTTCCTTCCTCCAGTGTTTCCTAATCAGAGTCTCTCTTCACAGGAGTCTACATAAAAGAAGAACCACTAACTTCTCCCCTTGTTAGTGTTCTCTACAGCTCTCATCACAAACTAATACACTAAATATTTCCTTGATTACTTGTTTAGTATTTGTCTCCTCTCACAAGTCTGCAAGCAATTGGTGATGTTTGTTTACTGTGCCTGACATAGAGTAAATGCTCATGAGATATTTGTTGACTAAATGAATCAAAGAAAGAATGAAATAAACCAGGATGATTTATCATTGGCAAAGCCATAACAGAGCTGGCACCTAAGCTCTACACTGTATTTCTGAGCTTAACAGGAGAAAAAAACAGAAGCTACAATGACAAGCATGCAGTATTTGTAGTCTATTTCTTCTTTCCAAAAGTACCCTTAATTATGCATAAAAGGGAAGAAAATATTTCTATGTGTTAGTGCTGTACAGGAAATATACACGACAAAATATCTATATTATTAGCCCTGAATTTTCATTTTCAACTTACATTTTTACAAGGTGTTTTAACCTTGTTTTTTCCTTGAATGATTAACATGTGATCTTAGTTATAGAGATTACTAGATTAATAAAATCATATCTAGGATAATTTCCACTTGGCTGCCAATTAGCTCTTGGCATCACTTAGCTCTTGGGACTATGGCCATCTCTTTATACTACTTTCTTAGCCTTCAAAACTCTGTAGATCCCCTCTAATTAATGAATTTTATTATTCCAAGTGTATTTATCATTTTAGTTATAACCAGCTTATTGCTGTTATAAATGCACCCATATGTTTAATTTCCTTCACTCTAGCCAGGATTTTAGGTTGAAAGATATACCTACTTTGCTATCTCCTAACTAGTTTTGAACTTTATATTAGGAAGAATTTCGGGAAAAAAGTGAAGCCATCAGGAGGAAGTCAGAGAGAAATAGGGAAAAACCTTCATTAAACAAATTGCTGGGCATGTGCATAAACATTATTTCATTTAGTCCTAAAGTCAACTTTTAATGGCAGAAGGAAGGTTTGGTTTCTACAAATACTTCATAATAAATAACAGCTAATGTTAATAATGCTCTTATTAGGTGTCACGAGCAGTGTAGTAGATGAGTTTCCTTACTTAATCATTCTGGCAACCCTTAGAAGATACAATTATCATCTCATTTTTCAGAGGAGCAAATTAAGGATTACCAGAAAGGATAATATCTTGCCCAAGACCACAGAGCTCTCAAGGGGCAGGCTGGGTCTTTTTGGCCCAAGCTATCTCCATTATATGCTGCTGCCCATTAGCTGAATTAAAAAATAAATTAAAAGAACAATGATTGATGCTTTACAAATGAGAGTTTAACGAAATTCGCTAACTCACAGACTCTGTGAGAAAAGCTGAACCATGTATTATTACCTTTAAGCTTCACTCATGCTGGACATGTGGTTTGAGAAACCAGCCAACCCTCACTGTCATTTTTCTAGGAACTTACAGAGACCTCAATGTGTTATTAGAGATCTGGGCACCTCAGTGCTTGAATCGTACTAGAAGAAGCCAAGATCATTGGAGGGAGCAGGGGAGGTAGGAAAGGGTGATAACAGCTCATGGGTGGCAGATGGCTGCTGCCGATGGAAGGTAGGTAGAAGTTACAGAGGTCACTCACTGGCAGTCAGCCGAATTGGTTGCCAATTTAGTATTTATTACAAAAAGTTTCCAGAAACCTATAGCCTATCTACTAAGGCTTTCTGGTTTGTCTTTGCTTGAGTGGAGGTACCCTAGAGTCTAGAACCACTGTTTGCACACTGTAAAGACCCCACTAGTTCCTTAGAGTCAGAATGTCTACTTCCACTTTAAACTAGAATGCCACAGACCCACAGGACCCCAGCACCTCACCGGGAAGTCAGAGCACCGAGGACCACTAGTGGGAGCTAACTCAACAAACAGTCTGTTATGCTGAAGTTGATTCTCTGACTAAAGGACAAGTAACAGGCTCATGAGGCATCTTCTGATAAACTGACAGCTGCCTCAAGATCAATGAAGAATGCTCAGCTATCAGATGAGCTATGCCAAACCGGAGGGTGTTTCCCTCCACCCTGTAACCACATTCACCGAACTGGGCCAAAGGCTCACAATGCAACTTTCACAACCAAGCACACCAGTGAGCCAACTCTCAGTTTCTACTCATGCATAAGCTCTAGGTGGTTTTGTCTCCTTTCTTGCCAGACAACTCTTTACAGTCCTATCAGATACTGGCCTCAAACTCCATGTTCAGAAACAACTTCACCAGCTCAGTTCTGTAGCAGTTGGGGACCGAAACCAAGCGGAAGCAGGGTACAAAGTACCCATAAAATTACCCTAAAATTCAAGAGGAAAAACGGCATGAAGTTGCTGTACATTAAACCCCTAGATCCACAACCAACTAGATTTACAATTACACATGTAGAAAAGAAAAACATTTAGTGTAAAACAAAGTTTTAGCATAAGAAAATGTGAGCCAGAAAGGGCTAACATTTAGTGAAAGTAAGTTAGTAGTGGCC